TCAGCATCCAGTCCAGGCCCCCTGCTGAGGACAGTGAGCAGGGGACATGGCAGCTTCCCCCAGCACAGCGCCTGCGCGGACACTGCACAGACGCAGGGACACGGAGCTAACTCCCTGCAGGGGAGCCAGTCCAGACCCAATGTTCACAAGCAAACTGCGGCTGCCAGCTGCGCGAGCCCTCCCCTTTCCTACGCGCTCCCATGACACGGACACTGCACGGAAGTGAAAAGAAACGGTTCCACCCGCAAAGGCTGGGCACGGGGACGGGGACGGAGAGTAAACCGCCAGTCTGGGCGGCAGGGAGGAGTCACCAGACTCGCGCGACCCTAGGCGGGCGCTAAAATAAATCAGCTGCTCTTTGGTACATGCTGCAACATTGCTTAGGAACAGATCCTAGCTTTTGCAAACTCCCTCGTGTTCAGGCTCAGGATCCTAGCTATCTTAGTCAATTCAGGCTGCTTACAACAGAATACCCCGCGCAGCAGGTGGCATTGGCAACACCTCAGCCGGCCGTGGAGGCTGCACATCAAACTTTTTCAGGACGAGACCCCACGAGGGCTCAGCGACTGGCTCTGGTGAAGAGGGGCGGGGTCACAGGAGAGAGAACAGCCAGGCCCGGACAACAACTACCGAAGGGCCAGGTGTGGGGGCATCCAGCCCCCGGGTTGCTCTGACGAGGGCCCCGCAGCAGGAGAGGCCCCCGGGCCCAGAGGTCCATCACGGTGGCCCACAGGTGGTGTGAGCGGAGGTGGAGGCCCTCCCCTCGTCGGTGCAATGCTCACCGCACAGGGCTCTCCCCCGCTCCCCACGCCTTGCTCCCCAACAGCACCCACAGATGCTGGCGCAGGACTTTATGAAGAAAGTCCGAGCAGTGAATATGCATGCAAACACACCAACATGTTTTTACACACCCACCACACACGTACATGCACACAACTACACTCACACATACATGCATGTATGCTCACACACACACACACACAATCACACACACACAATCGCATATTCACACTCTTACACACACACATACACTCACACAGACACACACGCACACACACACACTCACACTCACACTCACACTCACACAATCACACACACAATCACACATTCACACTCTTACACATACACTCACACACACACTCACACAATCACACACAATCACACACATACACAATCACACACACTATCACACACACATACACACACTCACAATCACACACACAATCACACACTCACACTCACACTCTCACAATCACACACACCCACACACACACTCAACACATTCACACTCACACACACTTACCATACGCCTGCAGCTTCTCAGTCAGTTTGTCTACGTTGATGAGTAACTGGCTTTCCACAAAGTTTCTTATGAATCTGTTCCTCAGGACTTCCTACAGGAAACAGTTTAACAAAAATAACGGCATCGTTTTTTCTTATTGACAATACTGGTTGGTTTACTCCGTTTATTGTTGTTCAAGAAAAAGGCACATAACATGCGTCATCTTGAAAGCAGGTCTACACGTCCCAGTGAGCCCGGGAGGATGTGGTAGGACTTCAGCTTAAACAAAGGATCAGCTGTGCCCGCGAGGCGAGGCATGGACCTGTCGCGAACACTGAAAGCCAAGATGCAGGGAGTGTGACTCTGGGCAGGTTCCCAGCAGGCCTTCCACGGCCTTTCCCGCGGGCAGAACGTGACGAAGGGGCAGCACTTTCCCGACCCTTAACCCTGTGACGCTCTGGGCCTCCGGCTCCCTCCACACCGTCACCCTGTCACCCTGTCACCCTGTCACCCTGTAGGTCCTCTTTCCCCACTACGTCCTGCCCCTGCCTCCCCTGCCGACGCCTGTGCTGGGGGCGGTGCTCCAGGACTGGACTCCTCGCCTTTAGGTGGGCAATGCGCAGTGACGTTCACCCTGTTCGCACCGCACAGCCTCCCACCCTCACCCAAGCCTCACCTACTCACCCCAACTCACTGCAGCAACGCAGCCCGGTTCCTGGGTCAGCGCGCTAGTCCCGAGCAAACAAGCTGCAGAAGAAGGTGTCCCAGCAACGGCCAGCGCTGACACAGCTGTGCCACACGCTCCACCACCAGGGATGCCCATCCCAGTTCGCCCAGAGCCACACCTGCCTCGCTGGCTCCCGGCCCAGGGCCACCACACCAGCCCATCCCCGGAGCAGGGGTCCTTTGACCGGACCTGCTGATGAATGAAGGTGGCTGGATGGCGGGTCGGTCCCTAAAGGCAGGCCTGTCCCAGATGCTGCAGGGACTGCCTCCCTCTCTCCACCAGGGCCAGACCTGCATCGCCATCTGGCGTGGGGGCTCCGCCCTCCCTCCAGCTCCCGCCTCCTCTGCCCTGACCGCCAGGTGTTCTGTGATGCAATCTCGCCCGTGCTACCCCCTCCTGGCATCTGCTCTGCAAGGACCAGGCACGAGGCACGTCCTGCCTGCCCGACACCGCTTCACGTGCTTTACACGCCCCACGCCATTCACAGCTGCCGACCACTACCCCTCCCTTCACCGGCAGGAAACCCGGCACAGAGCAGTCCCGTGACCAGCCCGATCACACAGCGCAGGGCTGGAGGGAACCAGACGACCAGCCCCTGAGCCCCTGCTCTCATCACCTGAACTGCTCACCAGGGCACGACAAATAACCAAACGTGAAGAGATGTGGCCTGTTTCTCACCCAAAGGACAGGCGTCAGAGCGGCACCCACGCCCCCAAGGGCGTGACCTCCCTGACGGCACCTCTGCAGTCGCGGGCTGCAGGCCCCAAGGAAGGGCTCATTGTACACCGCAGCCTGCGGATCTTGGAATGTATTACATATTCAACACCGAAAATTAGGAAATGATCACTGATCATTTTAATAGACCTACAGTTGAAAAGTATACAAACCAACCCAAAAAGCATTAAGTTAATATGGAACATAAAGCTTGGGTAACTATTAATAAATTATTAACAACTAGCAGCCCGACGCACGAAATTCGTGCAAGAGCAGGCCTTCCTCCCCCGGCTGCCGGTGCCGGCTTCCCTCTGGCACCTGGGACCCAGGCTTCCCTCGCAGCCCCAGCTTCGTCCAGAGGACATCTGGTCTAAATTAGCATGTTACACTTTTATTATTATAGATACCTTGCATGGTGGGCAAAATATTTGACCATTACAAAAAGTCCTCACACGTATCCAACTGCGCGTCAGTGTTATCAGTCAACTGGGAAAGCCGCGCCCGAGGTGACCGCACACCCTTCTCTTGGACGCCCCCCCCCCACGCCACGTGCTCCCCAGCCCTCAGAGGAGGAGCCACGCTCACCTGCAGCTGCCCCAGCATCTGGCCATGCCCACTGCTCTGGAAGCGGCTGGCCACGCTCAGCAGTGTCTGTGATAACGGGGCCCCCACCTGTTCCCCTCGGGGCCCCCACCTGTTCCCCTCGGGGCCCCCACCTGTTCCCCTCGGGGCCCCCACCTGTTCCCCTCGGGGCCCCCACCTGTTCCCCTCGGGGCCCCCACCTGTTCCCCTCGGGGCCCCCACCTGTTCCCCTCGGGGCCCCCACCTGTTCCCCTCGGGGTCTCCACCCCCTCCCCTCGGGGTCCTCATCTGTTCCCCTCGAGGTCCCCGCCTGTTCCCCTTGGGGTCCCCGCCTGTTCCTCTCGGGGTCCTCGCCTGTTCCCCTCGGGGTCCCCGCCTGTTCCTCTTGGGGTCCCGCCTGTTCCCCTTGGGGTCCCCCACCTGTTCCCCTCGGGGTCCCCACCTGTTCCCTTCGGGGTCCCCATCCATTCCCCATGGGGTCCCCATCTGTTCCCCTCGAGGTCCCCGCCTGTTCCCCTTGGGGTCCCCGCCTGTTCCTCTCGGGGTCCTCGCCTGTTCCCCTCGGGGTCCCCGCCTGTTCCTCTTGGGGTCCCGCCTGTTCCCCTTGGGGTCCCCCACCTGTTCCCCTCGGGGTCCCCACCTGTTCCCTTCGGGGTCCCCTATCCATTCCCCATGGGGTCCCCACGTTGACCTCACTGTCTAGAAAGCAGATGCCTCCGCTACACCTCGCTTCCAGAAGTACTGCTTGTATGGCTCACCCGACCCTCATTCGCAGCTTACCTTTTGGATGACCTTTTTAATCTCCGGGGTGTTGGGTGTGTACAGTATTTTTCCATGTAATACAGGTTTTAGGAAGGACCACACCAAAGCGCCATTTGGAGACTGTAGTATTTCCTGATAAAGCTTCAAGCAAAATGGTGCTATCGCAATTAAAAACAGAAAGAGTTTTACCAAGATGGGATGCCCAGGTGAGGAGGAATTCGTTTGCATATGCATGCGCCTTGCTCTCAGTGAGTGAGGGACACAAGTCTGCATTTGGGCGGAGACGCAGGAATGTGGTTCTTGACTGTGTTTAGTGGCTCCTGTCTCATGCGCAGCCTCAGGCACCACGTTCTCCTCGATATTTGAAAGAGACGGAGTGTGACCTTCACATTCCAAACTGAGCTTCGACGGGAGCGCTAAGGTGGCAGGGACACCGAAGACGGACACGGCGCGAGAGGGACGCTCCGGCTCCCAGTCCATAGAGCCTGTAGAGTTTGGGGGCCAGCACAGATTTTTTACATAAAATTCGCTTTATAAACTGCTACTGATGGTCTTTGGCGCACTACACAGAGCTGTGGAACTCACTCCTTCGATATGTGAAGCTGCCTTGTTTTCACTCAGATCCTCCATTCCTCACGGGGTGCAGTGGGGATGCTTGAGGCAAGCACAGGCAGGAATGAAGGCAGGACCTGCATCGCCATAGCGATGAGTAATCAAGTGTCATCAGGCCTGAAGCCGGTGTGCATGCTCCCGTCCCTCTTGCATTTCCCCTGAAGAGAGCATGTGCAACGGAAATGCTCTCTCCACTGCGATCCCCGATTCCCGACACCCGAGGCGTGAAGAGCACAGTAGTGGTTATTTCCTCCACATTCACCATGTGACTCAGAGAGTACTATAAAACCGATAGAAATAATCCCATAAAATGTCAAGTGAGAGCATGAGCACATAATAAATTTAAAGCATGAATTATAGAGCTTGCTCTGCATTTTAACAACTTGCACTTTAAATTATGAGCGACCTTGATTTCAGAAGAGACATGTTCGTGTTTATGTGCAGCTGCCACACCAGTGCCGGGCTGAAAAGGAAGGACACTTTGCCGAGAGTGCTGGTCATGAATGGGTTCTGAATTGTGTCAGATGCTTTTTCTGCATTGATTGGTATGATCATATGATTTTCATTTTGTTTATGTGATGTAACATGTCAATTGATTTGCAGATATTGAACCAACCTTGCATTCCAGGAATGAATCCCACCTGATCATGGGTATTTTCTCTTTAATGTATTGCTGAGTTTGACCTGTTAACGTTTTGTGAGAATTTTTGCACCTATGGTGCCAGGTGGACACTGGATTAACGGGGCGGGTAGGTGGGGGGGGGGGAGGATCACTTCATAAATTATATAAATGTCTGGCCACTATGCTGTACACCTGATACTGATATAATATTGAATGTCAACTGCTACTGATTGTCTTTTACTGCTGCTGTAACTGAAATTTTAAAATTCCAATAAAAAGGAAGGATAAAAGTTAGAGGGTGGAAAAGCAATTCCTTGTCACCTTCTACACCAAGCATTTTGTATAAATCAAAGAGATATGTTATTCTGTAAGAACAGGAATTGTTGTTTACTAGTGTGTTGTTGAAAACTTGGAAGCATGCTAAATGGCCAGCAGTGGAAGACTGGTTAATAAAATCTGTAGAGTCCTACAGTGGAATGCTATGTGACCAATAAAAGTAAAGTTTTAGAAGTATACTTAATATTATATAAATGTCTGGCCACTATGCTGTACACCTGATACTGATATAATATTGAATGTCAACTGCTACTGATTGTCTTTTACTGCTGCTGTAACTGAAATTTTAAAATTCCAATAAAAAGGAAGGATAAAAGTTAGAGGGTGGAAAAGCAATTCCTTGTCACCTTCTACACCAAGCATTTTGTATAAAGCAAAGTGAATGGTCAACATGCAAATTAATCAAAGCAGACAAGGGTTACAGTTTTCTTACTTGAGTCTTCAGGAATGTTGAATTTTTCTTTGTCACTTGCCAAGAGCTCGTGAACCCTGGGCAAGTTAAAGAACATGTTCGCGTGGCTGAGAAAAGACTCTTGCTCCTGGCAAACCGTCGTCATCACGGCCTGGAAGGAACCGAAGGCCGAACGGGCGGGGTCCAAGGGGGGAGCCTGAGTCACGAAAACACACCTCAGTGAGCAGCGACGTGTGCGGTGCCCTCAGGCCTGCGGAAGCCCCCTCCTCCCACTGAAAACACACGCAGCAGTCAGGTGTGCAGTCCCGGCCGTGGCCTGTTCTGTTCCGCGAAAACCATGCACACCACCAGGGGGCGGGATCACACACACAGCCAATCCCTGTCCACGATGAACTGTGATCCAGCAATGTCACCAACGCAGACTAACACTCTCAGTGTGGTCTCTACTGGCAAACTGCCCACACCGACGTCTCCCCTAACTGTCCCTGGGCTGATGGGCGGCTCCGAGGACTCACTCCACCGTCTGCCACATCCTGCCCCCCATGTCCACACCCAACACACTCCCTCCCAGTCAGCTCCATGCCAGGCACAGAGTTGAAGCAAAGACAAATATCACACCACTAACCTTTCGCGTTTGTTTGTATTTGCAGAAATGCCCTGTAATTTTATGACAATTATTTATATGGAAGTAACTGCCTCAGGTTTGAGAAAGCATTTACTCTCCGACTTGAGGCATTTGTGCTGACAGACTAGGCGCGGACGGCCCCAACCTCCCTTCTCAGAGAGACGCCGGGCCTGGCTTTTTGTCGTGCTGTTGCCCCAGAGCCATTCAAAGGCTTTCCTGCCCCCACATTGTTGTCTCGGGCAGCAGCCAGATGTGGCCAAAGAAACACAGGCAGAAGGACCGAGGGCCCAGCACGTCTGAGTGCGTCCCTGAGGCCCAGATCAAACACACACCTGCTGAAAGCCGGGCACATCCAGCCAGGCTGTGACGTTCGACGTGTGAAGGAACTGGGGGAGGTGTTCCAGGATGTGGCTGGCTCTGGGGAGCAGGTGGCTGAGCCTGGCGACGACGTCCAAGAGGGAGCTGAGCACGCCCTTGGCTTCCGCCGGCATCAGGGTCTCGAAGGAAAACACACAACACGAAATCACCACCACCGCGCTCTCCCTCCCCGGGCGTCATCTGAGGGCGAGGACCTGCCTGCTCTCGTCCTCTCCTGGCCGCTTCCCCCCGCCCCGCCAGCAGCCCCACAGACGTCGCACAGGCCACGCCAGCGGGCGCCCCACCTTGTAAATGAAGTTGCGCAGGTCCAGGTTGCGCATCACAGACACAAGCAGAGCGTACACGCTGGCCCCGGGCAGGCCACACAGCTCCTCAGTGGCAAAGCCAGCCTTCCCGTCCTCAGGGAGGGCCAGCAGGAGCCGCAGCACGTCCTGGTCACATCTCCCGGACAGAGCCACCGTCAGGGCGCCGGGCAGGACCTGGTGGAGGAGGGTCCGAGCAGATGCACCCAAGCCGGGCAGCCCCACTCAGGGAGGAGCCTGAGCACCCAAAGGCCTGAATGTGGGGGGGGGAGGGGTTCACCTGGAGACCCACGGGCCCACCTCTGTGCCACTCACACATTTGGATGAAAATGTTTCTGAAATGTGCGCCTAATTTAAGCAATCCGCCCTCTGATGACTCAGGGCAACACATGACCACCCGCCTCCCCCAGCCCTCCGACCCTGGCTGCTCTCAGATGGAGCGCTTGTGACGTTTTCTTCACGTTCAGCCTCAGCCTCTGCTGTCAGTTTATCACTTTTCCTGCTCACAGTTATCAGTGTGAAACTATGTGTCTTCTCCTCTTTTCGCAACTTGAAAACCAGGGTTCTGAGCTTCTTATAATTTTTGAAAAGGAAAAGCAAACAAAGCCAGAAGGAGGGGCTGAGGAGGACCTGTGTTCAATCTAATTTGTGACTAATGACCCAGTGCACGGACTTGTGCACATTGAAAGGAAATTAATTAGACAGTGGCCAGGGAGGTGGGACTGGGTGAGATGGGCCAGACACGACCTGGAGCCAACCTCCCACGGTCCCTCCCCGGCGTCTGCAGAGTGAGCAGGGTCCCTCGGCCTGGCCTGCGGGGATCAGGCCAAACCGGCTCTCCGACATCCCCCAAGGGGTCCAGAGTGCGAGAGGGCACTCTGCAAAGTTGCTATTGTACAGGGTGTGGAACACAAACTCAAGTGAGCAGTTAACTAGATTCGGGGCCGACAGAGTCCCAGCAACAACATAACCCACGGCCGAAGGTGGAATCCCACAGCCTCACAAGGAATCGGGCTCCCTCCTCTCCGGTTTTGGGGTGTGTCACCCTAGAACTGCTGCTGCCAAGTCGCTGCAGCTCGGCAGCTCCTCCTGCATTGAGCGTCTGCCCCATGGTGGTCAGTGCACATCATAGCAACCGGTCAGACAGTCAGGCACTTAGCATATTAGCCGTTTATATATAGAGATAACACCCTCAGAGGAGCTGAGCTGCTCTCTGTGTGGGTGTGGCTTTCAATTACTGAACAATAAGATTTTAAAGACATAAGCTTCCCTTCCTGTCCATGCTCATACTCTGACAGGTACAACTGCTGCGAAACGTTCGACCCAGTGAGGGCCGAGACCACAAGTGACCGTTCAATTGCCAGGAGCCTGAGAGCAGGCAGAACTCATCAGATGCTTTCATATCACGTCAAAAAGGCCCAAAACGATGATCAGTTAGGGTTGGGGCTCCCCTGCACACACCAACAGGACGTGTCTATAACATGCAGAGATATTCCTAAGGAACTGGCTCGCACAATCGTGGGCCAGCAAGGCGGCGGCCCCCGGCATAGCTGACACTGCCGCGCAGGCCCAGAGCCATCCAGTCTCCTCTGAAGCCCTCAGCTGATGGGATGTGCCCCGCCCCCCACAAGGAGGGCTGCCTGCTTCACTCAAAGTCTGTCCATTTAAAGGTTAATATCATCTTAGACCTTCTCACATTCAGTTTGGTGTCTGACCAGATATCTGGGTGCCGCGGCCCAGCCAAGCCAGCATTGAAATGAACCCCACAATGACTGGGCTGTGCAGAAGGACATTTGCAACCTGTGAGGGGACATGTCAGGTGTGTCCAGACCTACTTCACCAATTTCTTCACAGGGGCTCATGGTGCAGACACACCTTCACCTTCGCCAGAAGACGGAGAAGTGAGGGGATTAAAAATACCTGAAGAGCCCTAGCCGGATGGCTCAGTTGGTTGGAGCAACATCTTGTGCACCAAAAGGTTGCAGATTCGATCCCCCTTCAGTGCACATAGGGAGGCAGCCAATCCATCAATGTTTCTCTCTCTGTGTCTCCCTTCCTCTCTCTAAAATCAATCAACATCCTCAGGTGAGGATTTAGAAAAAGAAACTGACCGTTAGAATCACTGGCCAGAATAGCAAGCGCTTTGCAGAGATCAATGCAAACCCTGAAAGTGAGGTTCAGAATTATGTACCTAAGTGCACACAGGTGCACCCCCTGCGAGGTCCCCAGCACCCGCCACCCACACGTGCCTCCCCGCATCCCGTGTCCTGACGTAGCCGCCGCCCAGAGAACCCTGCTGCTCGGAGCGGGGACAGCCCGGCTTCTGGAGGCGCCGCCGGGAAGGGCTTGTCCACGTGGAGGTGTGAGTGAGGCCTGCTACTTTGCTCAGTGGAGAAGTGCTCCCTGCAGGTGGCCAACAGCTGGACTGAGGATCCGATGCGACAAAGGCACAACCGACCGGCCGTGCCGGGAGTCCAGGGAGACGGGTATCAGCAGTGGCCACAGGGACACGCAGGGCGCTACCTGCTGCCATGGGACAACCTCGAAAACCAGAGCCCAAGGTCGCCTCCTAAGGGACCCAAGCGCAGGCAGGGTCTGTGGGCGCGTGGGGGTTCGTGGACACACATCATGATCAAAGCGCGGGAGTGTGTCGTGTACTTGAATGGCA